TTTTTTTATTAAATTTGAGTTTAAACACAACTAAATTTTGAGCAATTCCAATTGAGGTTTATAGCTAACAAGTAACTTATTTTCAACCCTGAATTTTAGTTATATATGTGAAGTTAAAAACTCAAATTTCAGTGATAATAACTTAAGTAATTTATTAAAAATAAAAAATTTTAAATTTAAATGTCCGAAGAAAGTTGTTTTTTATTATATAATTTAAAATTAGTCAAATTTCAGCAGGCAGGTATATATCGTTCTCGTTCAATTTTACTAACATTTTCTTTGGGCCTTAGATGAGAATTCAAATTCATAATCGGTTTTACATAGATTTCAACCCACACATTGAAAACGGCACAAACTAATTAATTGACAAATTAAGCAGTCTATATTATTCATCTGGAGAGATGATGTAATGTCACGCTAGTGATTGCCGTTCATCTTTCACACGCGTTTAGGGCAAGCCATCAGCATGCGTTTTCCCTTTTGCTTCGCTATTAAATCACTGCGAAAAGAAAAATAAAAGGAAAAATAAAAGGAGAGACCTAAATGATTAATTATTCATATATACAGAGGTAAAACAGAAGTTCAATCCAGACTGAAAAAAAAATTGCTATTTCGAACACGAAAAAACTCGGAGTATTAAAATAAAAAATAAACAAATAAAATAAAAAATGAAAATGGTTTGAGAGCACAAACCGTAGGGTGCAGGCGAGGGAGGCGGCCTTTCCAAAGTCTCTATCTTGTCTTGCCTTGATAATTTGGAAAACAAGGATGAGGAGAACTTGATTCCCAGCCTTCTGTTTGAAAATCAACTCAGTCTCCTCCCTAAGTTGTGCACATTGGCTTCCAATTTCTTCCAACTTTTCTCTGATTTTCCTTTGTTCCTCTCTGATGCCTCTTTGATCCTTGCTTATTTTTGCCATATCCACTTTTAACCTTTTCATGGTCTTTTTGATCTTCTTATCCATCTTTATTTTCTATTGAGATATACAAGTAATTTATTAGTATATATCACCAACATTTACAGGTGATAAATTAATTAAATTCCCCTACATTTAAAAATTAAAAGTTTTAAATTCGAGTTGAACTCAAGTAGAGTAATAGGGTTATATTCCAGTCATATACTTAACTCCGAGAAATGACAAGAAGAAACAAACTGGACTGATCATCATATTAATAAATTAAAACAGTACCTTCTGCCTCTGCATTGCAGATTTTGAAGCTGTTTGCTCAATTGGATTACAAGCTCTCCTGGCTGCGACTGGTGCCATAATTAAGTATCTCTTTAATATACCACAGAAAGTGTAGATTTCACAATTGAGTGAGATCAAATACAAACCAAAGCTGCCTAAGAGTTGCTCTGGTTCAGTATCTTGATGGAGTGCTAATTAAGTCCTTAAGAGCGCCCCTATTTATAGAAGATCGGGTGATCATATTGGTTTCTGAGAAAGTGAGAGGAAAATGCAAGGGAAAGATCAAAAAGAGATCGAGAAAATGAAAAAGAAATGATAAGAGATTTTATTGGTTGTTGTGACTCGATCGGTCAATCTAAATTTGACCTCGAATAGTGAAATGTTAATTTTTCGGTTCATTAAACTATAATAGTTGGAACCGTCGATCTGTCAACTTTTTCCGGTGGACACACGCAGCACAGCTGATGAAAGAGCAGCTTTATCGTTCGATTTTTTTTTTATTAAATTTTTTTACTTAATAATCACAATAAATTTTGATTAATTTAAAATTAAATCACATTAAATTTATTAAAAAATATTCTTTAAATTTTTATTTTTTATTTACAAAATTTAAACTCAAAATTTTATTTAAAAAAATTCAAATTTCTTCGACAAATAATTAATTTTATCGTTCAATTATTGATTTGACCCCACGATTTTTGCCAATCGATTGCATCTTGAAAAATTAAAAGATCTACGCACTTAACACGCTCTTGACTTTTTCCTCAAAAAAAACACGCTCCTGACTAATAAGTGATCTGACATCGCATTGCGACTTGCGAATAGGGGTGTGGTTATGAACTTATGAGTCTTATGACTATACAGTGAAACGTCCGGTCAAAGGTTTTATTTAAAAAATAATGTATTTAAATATAAAGTTTACATATTATTTTAATAAAAAATTTTACTTATTTA